TAGATTATTGACTCTGCAGTTGAAGGTTTGGAGAGTCCACTTCCATTCCATCTGCAGATTCCTCTCAGATTCCAAGCACTTCTATGCCATGCCTTATCATCTGTTTGGCAATCTGGACAGCCTTGTTAGGTTCATACAAGTTGCGTACATTCCATGTCCCCACGTTTACGTTCGCCTTCATCGACAGAGAGAGAGAGAAGATACATCAGCCAATTGGCTTCCTGAAGGCTTTCACCAACTGGCGTCATGCTGTCTCTCCGATTCCAGCGAGGAATAAGTCTAATTTTATGTTTTATATTTTGTTTGTGCTTTGAAGTTTGTTTAGGGATTGGATTGGTTCTATGGGGTAGGGTTTTTAGCCGTATGCCCAACCTTCCCTTTTTATTTGGGCTTAGGACGGGCTAGTTACCTAGGCAAGGTTCGATCAAGATTAGAAGATCCTAATCAGATAAAAAATTTGGAAAAAACCTCGGCTGTAGCTCTGCACGCAATTATTTACAGTCACACGGTAAGGTGTGATAGAGCGACAGAGTTAAAAACTAACTTGGGTGGGTGAAAGGACAGATTGATAACTGAATCTTTTTTTATCGAACAAAGACCAAACACATGCAGTAATAGAAGTGATTCTAAACCTGTCCCAGATATATGGTAAATTCTACTACCCTTATCATAGCAATAAAGGAGAGAAAATTAGGACTTTAAAAGTCTCTCTCAAAGTTGTGGCTTTAATTACCTGGTGTGAATGTGGACGATAAATTGTGTCCGAAACGTTATCAAGTAAATGCTAATGTTTCACTGGGTGAAATTTCTAATAAACAGACTAAAATGCACTAAGTGTTTTGATTGGTTACTGGAAAGTGACCAATATATTGTAGTCTGATCCTGAGTACTGACTATATTCTACCGATCATTTTACAATTTGGTCGCCAAGCTAAGAGGCTCAACATCGGGGTGCACTTGTATAGGTTTTAGTTGGTCAGAGGCAATGGGCAGGAATTCCTGAACTTGGGTTTCGCGCTTATTGGCATTCGTCAGCAAGGTTGATCTCCAACCTCATAGGAGCTGAAATTCCCTTTGAGATAGAAACTCACATCATTCAGTGTTGTAGTCATTGATGCTACCTACCACTGAGCTGTTTGGGTGAAGTGTTTTCGAAAATGTGAGATGCGATACTACCACTACTACTACCAATAATAATGACGATACTAATAACACTAACGACTTTAAAAATCGAAGTGAAAATCGTAAAGTGAATTAGAATAAAATTAACTGTAAGAAAACGTATTTTTACAATCAAGTCAAGGAAAGTTGTGCAAAACGTTTTTCAATAAACAGTTGAAATTTTCGATCGTGCGTTAGTTTATTATTAGTTCGGTGTAAGTTCTTGAGCGAATCTACGATACTTACGTGAAAAATATGATAGTTATATTGAATGCTAATAAATAGTATGAAAAAATGGTCAGTTATCAAGTGACATTCTGAAAATTGTGTTGTCTCATTTCAGTTAAAAGCTGCTTGCAGTAATAACTGGTCCAAATCGATGACTAACAACTAAACCGAAGTCGTTCTGATGAACGTCATGTCCAAGTTTCGTTGTTCTATGAACTACAGAAGCCTAACCAGTGTCTTGAGAAACACCAATCCTCCTGATCCTGTTGTGACATAGTAGGTTAACTAAGCAGCAATTTAAGTCGAGTGGTGTTCGTTAATGTTGTTCACTTTTTGCACACTTATTCCACCTTGTAATGCAGGTGCTAATGAAGTTCAAAGTCTCTTTCTTCAAATTTACATAAGGTTCCTCACTGGAACCTAATTATGCTAAAGTCTTCATCCTCTAACTGGAAGATATTGACAAGATTCACAGTCTCCATGAAACGGTAACTAACAATTTGAGAATTTTCAACATACATTTCTCAGTTCTCACTTGCTAGTTCTCCATGCAAAAAATAGACCATATCGACACACTCTGAGAAGAAGATGGTGTACATTGATTGGACTTGTTGACCACTTCATTCACTTCGGATGTCAGATGACCACTACTGAGTGAATCTCCGACTAGATCGTAATGTGGATTCCAAACACTCCATTGGTTTATCTGGTTCAGGCCACCTGTGGTGTCTGTGAGATTTCCGATCATCGAATAAGAATTGAGTGAGCTGAGCAGCAGTTTACTGTGTCTTGATCTCCAACTGTGAAACAGGATTACGATGGTTGGAGTATGTGAGAAAATGTCAGGTGTTTGACGAATGTGTGTGTAGGTGATACCAGTTGAGAAATATGTGGGTGATTGGAATGATGTGTGTGTGGTTTACTTGATGAGGTTGGAAGTGTTGGTTGACTTAGATGAGTGGAGTATGCAATACTTATACCCTGTCAATGTGTTTTTCGATGCACAATGGTATTGTGAGATGCTGTCATGTTGTTATGTAGTCTGGGGTGTTTAGAGTAGAATGTGGCACAGATTCATTGAGTCTGTGGGGTGTGTTGTACTTTGAGGACTTGGAAATAAGAGTTAGGTTGATGATTGAAAATGGGATTTATGTGATTGTAGTTGAGTTGTTTGAGAATTGATGGTAGTGTTGTATGATTATCAACAACTTATCTTCCTGCTGACCGTCATAGTTGATTTTGGCATTTACTTCGCCGCCTTTTCTATGCTCTTGATGACTCCCTCTTTATTGTATTCTGTTTTCATGAATTTCTTCTTACCGACTTTTATTTCAATATGCTAATGTGAGATATGGTAACTTCGAGCGTTATATAAATATTCTAGGTCTTATATTGATGCCAAATGACCGTCTTTATTGACCTACAAGGTACCAAATTTTGTGAATACAAGTGGCTAGTTTTGGATAAATAATTACTTTATAAGGAAAAGTCATGATTTATGTACACTTCGTGGTTGAAGCGTGCTCCACAAATACAAAACAGCTTATTTTTAGCACGAAAATCATTTATTGTCAAATTGACATTATCGATAATAAAGCGTAAATTTTACTAAGGATTTTATCATATTGTATCACTTTAACACGATTTAAATATTACTAAATACAGTTTCCACATATGGTTTCTTACTTGATGACTTCCAGGTGTCGGGTCTTCTAAATACAAACAGACAGACGAACAGAATCAAAGTAGAATCACGCACACATAAGCATCGGTTCAAGTTGGTACACTTTGTATTAGCATGCAAAGAACCAATGGATAGGAAAAACTGATATCAAAGTAGATAATGGTACATGAAAGGGGAGGAAGTTTATAAAGTAAGGTTGGCCAAAACAACCAATCTTGTAAAGATATCAAAGAGTGAATACTTTTGTACCACTGTGACTGATTCTCAGCCATCTCACCAAGAGTCCCAAACCACTTGTTTCTAACTTCTTTGGGACCACAGCTTGATATTCTACACCTTCCCACAAAGCTGAAACCAACAGTCAGACTTTATAGATTAGTGGCACGTCTTTGTCTGGTTACCCTGAACTCTTTTTCCAACATAATCCAACTTCTGTTAGCTTTGCACTTGGAGGAAGAAGGTTCACAACCTCAATGACTGATTTTTCTCCTTTGCCTAATATCCTTCGTCTAAACTCAACATTTCTCACATGTTAAATCGAAACAATGTAAGTTTACTCACTCCAATTTACAACAAAGTCCAGAAAGAAATGTTTCGCTTGTGAAACCAATGTATTTACACTTCTATTTCTATATATTTCATTTAAGTGTCGTTGGCTGTACGGAAGACTTCATCATACACTAAGTAGCCAGTAGCAACTAATCTATGTTATATCATTCAGTTTAGGAGCTGACTGTCACAGTACCATTTGCTTGACAATAATCACTCTACAGTAACCAATCAATATATCTAGTCAGACCATACAAGAAGTCAGCCTCGAATAAAATGTTAGACACAACTATCTAACCACCGTCAGTTACTATATTGAAGACTTTAGTGACTAGCAGCGAAGTCTGGGACGTGCGTTTCGTCCTATTTGAGACTTGTAAGTTGGATGTATGTGTACCCCAGTGAGTGATGGTGTCCCCACTGAGACTCACACCCAGTACTCATTGTTTCAAAGTCCAAAGCTTTATCCACTGGACCACTGGGGCTTTATAGCCACCTCATGTACAATGGTTCTTAGTTGTTGTGTATTGATACCAGCACTTTGATCAAGTATAGCAATGGTAAATTACAAGTATCAGTAAACAGTATCTATCAGTTATCTTTGGTTATTTACCAAGATAACTTTTACATTGATGAAACAGACTATTGGTGTCAAAAATACATACACTTGAATTTCTGTTCCCTCATACGGAGTTTATTTTTAATGGGATAACTTCTATTCTGATAAAAATGTTTGTTATCATTCTGACTATCTAAGATAGCCGTGGTTTAGCAGAATAGTTATGATACCAGTTTATGATTGAAGGAGCAATGAAAATCTGAACCACAGAAGGATTCGAACCAGTGACCGGGTTACTGGCTTGATGCTCTACCAGGTGAGCTACGAGGTCCGAACGCTGACCAGCATCTTATTAAGGGTTTTGCCCAACTACTATGTGAATTCCTGATGCGTTACTACCGCCTGATCACACATTAGCTGCTTAGTTAGGACTTCTCATCCCAGTGCAAATCTAATTAAATCACAGAGGGAAAGCATCATATTGATTAACAAACAATCAAGCGATAGAAATGCGTCACAAATTCATATGGTAGTCAGGCAAAACCCTCGGTATTTGAAGTGTATAAGATACTGGTAAATAGTCGGACGTCGTAGCTGAATTGGTAAAGCATCGGGCCGGAAACCCGGTGGTCGCTGGTTCAAATTCGGCCATGGTCCAAATTTTCATTTCACCTTCAATCATCACCCGGTAAAGATGTTCGTAACAAAAGTTACTTAATACAGCCAATAATACATTATTTTTTATCTGATAAACTTACATTTGTAATCGTTTCAAACAAAAAGAATTGTATTTTGTCAATTTTATCAATCTCATTGTAGACAATACTGAACTTGTTGGACAGTGTCGGTCCACATCAGTTATGTTCTCTACTGAATGAGGTAATCCATGAATTATTCAGTACAAGTGTAAGTAATTAGCAAATTTGCCTTTTCTATGCATGCATATCTTTAAAATAGAAATTATTGATTTGACTCAGTTGACTTTTTGAGTTAAAGATATATCACTTTAAACTATTGGTACTTCATTCGACTGGAGACTCAGCTTCTTGTCAGGTTGGTAGAGCATTGCCTTAGTAAGCTGAAACTTGTTACTATGTATCCTACCACTACCTATCTTTCTTAGGGAATTCAACAATTCAAATAGTCTAATTGATTATCATGTATACTGTTGGAAGTAAGTGTGATGAAAATGTCTGAATTTTAATTATGCACGGTCATACCAGGTGGAGAATAAAGTGTGCCAAACATGCTTTTGTCTAGAAAAACAACTAATATAGGCCAGTAGACTAAAATCGTTACCTGAAAAGGTGTAATACTGCAACTCTTATGTCCCTAACTCTGTCTGTTTAACGTTATTTTTCCCACTCTTCATAACTATTTTCCTGTCAGCAACACAAACGTATCTCATCGATTTCATTCTATACAAACTTTATTTATTTCAGACTGGCTGAACAAAAGTCAGATATCTAAATGACTTCACCACAATTCCCCTCCTTGTGCTTTGATGAAAGTTATCAGGAGAGCACAGAATATGAACATGTATTGATTGGTCACAGGAGTGCGACCAATTTCATATTGTTTAGTCCTGAGTGCAGACGGAATCATATCAAACATATTTGCAATGTGGCCACTAAGCTAGGAGGCTGAGCACAGCGGTGCACATTAGCAGATGTTAGCTGGTTGGAGGCAATTGGCAGGAAGCCCTGGACCAAGGTTTCGTGCCTGTTGGTACTCGTTAGCAAGATGTATCTACAGGAGGTCAATAGCGGCTCGAGTAGTTCAGTGGTGATGTTTCTGACTACAACACTGGATGACGCGTGTTCTAATCTCAGGCGAGACATGAGTTTCGTTGAGGCTGCAGATACGCCTTGATGACGAGTGCCAACAAGCATGAAACCTAGGGCTTCCTGCCAACTGCCTCCAACTAACTAACATCTACAGAATATGAATACTTCAGAGATGACATGTGTCCTAAAATTGCTTTCTGAAATAGCCAACTATAAGAGCGTTAGTTTCTAGGTGAAAAGAAAACTAAATGTGTATCTTGAAGTGATGGGAACGATTTGCAGCTCAGGAAGAGTATGATATTGGTTCGGTGTTTTCTGAGCTTTGATTTTTGTCGTGAAGGTTTCAGCACCAGGCTTGCTGATATCTTCAATACTAATTCCACTTCCTTATAAAGTTAGTTCTGCAGATATCACCAAGCCTGGTAATGAAAAGCTCACGAAAAAATATCAAAGCTCAGAAAACGACGAGTAAATGGGTCTCATAAGTTTCTGCTGGTATCAAACTAGTAGTTAACTGATAATGAGTTTACTTACCCCTAGCTATGGCTTTCATAGTGTCTATTTTCCAGGGATCCATGAGTGTGTGTTTTACGAAAGTGTCTCAGATCAGCCGGCAACAACAATCCGATTCTCCCACTTCACACGGCTCTCTATTCAATATTAATCCACGTTAAAAATAATCGTCTTTAAATTGGTTAAAAATATTTTAATGTTAGGGGAGGTGTGTGACTAGATTTCTCTGGAATTTTCCGTTACTGCCACTCATATTGTCCAACTTTTCTTGAGTTTATATAATCAAACAAAAAATGATCACTTTACTATCAGCTGTCAGTATTTGGGTGTAGGGAAGTATACTTGAAAATTGTTGCTTGAATTCTTGATGCAGCTAACCCGTTAGTCAAAGCTGACAGAACAGATTTGGTGGTCAGGAAACCACTTCATACTTTTATGCTCATTCATCTGACGAACATTGTTTTTAAAATATTTTCTCCCCACAGCAACACTTACTCAGATGTAACATGTCTTAATTCAAAAGAGACTGATGTATAACTGCAGTTCTGATTTTCTGGGGAATAAAATAATTCACATGAGTAAATCATTGGATGATGAGCGATACAGCTGTCAAGTTCCAAGTGTTCAGCACTGGCTGAAGTTTGTCGATTAATCATTATTATATGACCATTAAACAAAGGGATACAACAATGTACTGTGTCTTGGTGTTAATTGTTGTAAATCAATCTACAAGAAGTTCTGAACCTAGATTTCGTGTTTGTTATCACTCATCGGCAAAGATTATTTTAGACCATGAGAAGAAAACTGGTGATCTTCAATGGTTTAAATCTATTTCACTCAATGCAATATTCAGAAACTTGATTACTGAGTTGCCTGAACAACAATTCATCCCTTGTAAGGCTAGTTTATATGCACTAATAGATCACTAATGGGTAACCGATGTAGTTGTTAACTATTTTTTATGTTCAGTGATGATTTAAATCTATCGAACAGGTTTCCTAAATGAAATGAAAATGATTATTTCTTCAGGTTTGCAGATATTGCTTTCTGATGAGTTCCAGCCTGTAAAAAACCTAAATTCAACGATTTCCACCAATCATCTAAAGCTATAAGAGATGTACTGGGATATAGTTGTTTTTCAAAAATGCCACAACATCGCTTGATGGAGTGTTTTGATACACTGGCTACCCGGTTAATACACTAAAATTCTAACTTAAAGTCATGAATTCTGAGTTGATAAAACGATGGATCACCTATGCGAGAACATCTTCCTACTTATTACTTACAATTAGAACTCTGTGGTTGAATTAACTATCCCACTAAAAACCTTGAATATATTATTTCTCTCATCTAACCACTTTTTTTCCAATTATGGAGTTAGTAAAATCTCTTGGGAATGGATTATCATGATTATCCTCTGTGAGTTGGATAAATATTCTTCATCTGCTGGTTACTCCACTTCCTTCATTTCAGTTTAACCACTGTCACAATACTAATAGAATAAAATAAATTTAAATGTCAGAAAAGGAAGTTAACTTCATTATGAGAAGGTGAACAACTTTATTTAAAATAATTTATACTGACAATATGAATAGCTTATCGTATACTGGATGTATCATTATCCCAATTAAAACCCTCGCATTTTAGTAGTAGCATCACTATGACTATTCACTGAAGTGACAAGTTAGAACAGGTGAGTTTTTGTTCAACGTAAATTGTTGGTTTCTCTTATCGTTATTTGTTATCTTAAGTTCAATTGCAACATGATTTCTTGAAGCTAACTTTAAGAAGAGTCCAGAATATGTCTTAGGCTTCTTTGCACTATATGAGTTTTCCTAATTTGTATAGATGAAATTATGCTGCTATATTCACTTGTCTTAATGAAAGGTAGACTTATGACAGTAAAAAGAAAAAATGAATTTAATTCGTACTCTTTGTGTACTTACCGCTCTTATTATAACGTTTATGAAATAAAGTATCAACTCATCAAAAAGAAATCCAACCATCTGATTTTTGTAATCAGGCATCCAGAACAGAATCTTTGAATTCCAATGGGGATTCAGGATACTTTCATCAAAATAACTGTCATTAATTGTTGATGAGTTTGTCTGAGATGGCTGTGGTTCAGCAGCCCAGTATTAATGATACGGAATGATAATTGGCAGTGAGATGAAAACTTGGGTTACGGTAGGGTTCGAAAGAAGAGCCTTCGGGTAAGTGACTAGACGCTGTGTCGACCTTAGGCTAATCAAGTTTTCACTTCAGTAATCAAGAGTTTTACCCGGCTATCGTGCGAATACATGACTCGTAACTTTCCGTTTATAGTAATCGCATCTACCGTGAGCACTATCAGTAGACAGTTAAAAATTATGTATTGACATCACAGTCAGGCAAACGTTACACAAGGAAAGGATTTTGTAAATAAGCTCGTCGGACACCAGTTTGGTAATCAGGAGGGTGTTTATTCGAATTCTACAGTATAAATAGCATAAAAAACATTTCTGTAAAAGAGTATCTCGTTCGGATTATTGCATTTGGACTTAAGTTGAATTTCATGTTGATGTCATCGTAGTAGTCGTCAGATAATTATGAGGTGTTTGGTAGTGTGAGTATATTTATGCACCTCAGCTTGCTTACTCGGCTCGATGATGGTGATATTAATGTTGGTTTCTGAAGAAAAACTGGATAAACAGTTTTCAGAGCAAAGCAGTATTACTGGTCTTGAAGAAGCCTGGTGTCATTTCCAGTCTGCTGTTAAAACAGCGCTAAAGACTGTAAATGATCCTCAGAAAAATTATTTGGAATACGTGATTCCTAACGGTTTCATCTGAACTGATGAATGTTGGTGAATACAAGCCTTCAGGCTCTAGGTAAAATGAATCGCAGAAACAGCTCAAATGTAAAATGACAGAGTTTGCCCAATAGTTTTGAGCAGTGATGGGCAACGAAAGCTAACTGGATAGAAAATTAAACGGCGACGAACAACAGTAGACAATTGTTCCAACTTAATAAGTGAATCTGGGTTATGCTGATGGTCAGTGAGACTGTATTAGAGAAATACTGGTCTCCCATAGACTCGTGTGTAGGTAACTGGACCGAAGCGGTGAAATGGCCCCCAGCTACTCTTCACTTGTACGTTATCTAGTCATACCCTTAACAGAACGATGAGATAGTACCTCTAACTCCCAAAAACTTTGAAGGAGATATGAGACTTGAAACAAGAAGTGATACCAAGGCCATATTAGCTTATATCAAAGATATTTTTGGACGGTAGCGGAAGACTATTAAAAAGGGTAATAGCAGTGTTAGGTGGTGTTTTATAATAAAATATGGATATTAGCTGATTGAAGGCGACCTACAAGGACCCCTGTCTGACCTAGAGTTCTGGTTTGTCGGCATTCGTCAGCAGGACGTAGTTGGAATCTCTAAGGAACAAATGTTACCTCTGAAATTCTAACCACCGTCACTCACTGTAGTAGTCAGCAACGTTTCAGCTGAGTTATTCGGGCCACGATTGATCTCCTGTGTGAATGAGTTAGGTATATTGATTTACGGCTGGAGTGGAACCAATTTCAGGTAGTCGAGTTCTAGATGTGAACCGAATTC